AAATCAGTAACCTAACTTACCTCTCTGAGGGCTTCCAGGGGCATTGTGAGTCTGCCAGAGATACAGACCCAATTGAACCCAGAGAGTTCACAGGGATGCAGCCCCACAAGACCCATCGGTTGAAATGGGTGCAATTTAAGTGCTCGGTTATCCTGGGAAAGCCTCCAGATGAAGTAGGGTACAAGCGCTTAAATCACAGACACCAACACAAAATTACAAGTAACAAAGGAGAGATTTATTAGTCAAGGTTCAGTCGTCCGGCAAACACTTGCTGGGCACGCGTGTTCCAAAGCAACGGCCCCGAGCTGCAGCAAAGGGCTGTCTTAAGTAGTTTGAATCCACAACCTGGTTGGCCAACGATAGGATCGGGGACATGCCAGTGCTCTGACCACAACATCCTGCTGGCGCAAGCAAGCAAATCTACAGAAGCAGATGTTGCTCGTTATGCTGGCGTAAGCGGATAAGATACTGTTACAGTACATTTCACAATCTAGCATTGTTAGCAAAAAAGTTTACAAATGTAAATAAGTTTCCAGGAAGGGAGTAATGCTTGTCCCAAGGGTCAGGGCCATTTTGTTCCCCCTTACAGTTTCTACAATAAATCAAAAATTAGCTGGGTGTGGTAGCACATGACTATAGTTTCAGCTGTTTGTAAGACAGAGGCAAAAGGATCACCAGAGCCCAGCAGATTGAGGCTGCGGTGGCCAGGAGTATGCCACTGCACTCCAGTCTATGCAAAAGAGTGAGATTCTGACTCAGAAAAAAATTAGTATTTAGATAACACAAATCCAAAGAAAGCTAGATTAACTCTATTAATATCAAGACAAAATAGATGACAGAACAAACATTACCATGGATGCTGAAAGTCATTTCACAGCAATAATAGGGTCAATATATCAAGAATAAAAATCCTGTACATTTATTCACAGAGCTACAAAATATGAAGCAAAAAACTGACAGAATGGTAAGAAGAAATAAACAAATCTAGAATCATAATTATAGATTTCAGTACCCCTCTCAATAATTGATAAAACAAGGAGCAGAAAAATCAGTAAGAATACAGAAGATTTGAACTGCACTATCAACCAAATTGACTTAATAAATATTTATGGAGAACTTTATCCAACAACAACAGGATACCCATCCTTTGCAAACATACATGGAACATTTACCAAGACAGACCATATTCTAAGCCATTAAAAAGTCACAATAAATTTTAAAAGAGTCAGGCATACATGGAACATTTACCAAGACAGACCATATTCTCTGACCACAATGGAATTAAACAGAAAATCAATAATAGAAAGATCTCCAAAAAAATTCCCAAATATTTGGAAGCTAAATTATACATATCTATATAACCTGTAGGTCAGAAAAATAAAACAAACAGGAAATTAGAAAATATCTTGAACATAATGAAAATAACAGCATGACAGATTACTATTTGTGGGATTCTGCTAAAGCAGCTGTTAGGGTGCCATTTACAGGATTAAATAACTTATTAGCAAAAAAAAGTCTCAAATCAATGTTCTCAGCTTCTACGTTAAATAACTAGACAAAGAAGAGCAAATTAAATTCAAAGTAAGCAGAAGAATTAAATTAATACAGACTAAAGAGAAATCAATTAAAATGGAAAAAGAAAAACAGTAGAGGAAAAATCAGTAAAACCAAAAGTTAGTTCTTTAAGCAGATTAATAAAATTGATAAACTTCTATCCAGACTAAGAAAAAAAGAGAAATTATAGAAACATATTAATGCAATAATAATGATGATGATGAATTTACTATACACCCGTTATAATAACTAAACCTCAAAAGGCTGATCATAAAGACTATTGGCATTCAACAGAATTCAATGCTGCTTCCAGGAATAGGAAGTGATATAGCCACTTTGGCAGTTTCTTAAGAGATTAACAGATTAAGCATATGCCTACTATATGATCTAGTTATTCCACTCATAGGAATTTCCTCAGGAGAAATGAAAGCACACATCCTCACAAAGATCAGTATGCAAAGTCCATGGCAGCTTTATTTATAATGACCCCAAACTGGAAACAACCCGCATGTCCATTAAGAGGTGAATAGATAATCAACTGTAGTCTATCCACACAGATAGTGTACTACTCAGTCACTAAAATGGAATGAACTGTTGACACATGCTACAACATGCAAGACTCTCAAAATAATTAGATTGAATGAAAAAAGCCAGATCGCCCCAAAAGCATATGCTATATAAATTCCATGTATAGAAAATTCTGAAAAATGAAAACTAACCTACAGTGACAGAAAGAAGGCTAGTGGTTGCCTAATGGAAAGGAATGAGGAGGTGACCCCCTCCTCATTGCAAAGAAGCATGAAGGGGCTTTTGAAGATGATGGATGGGTTCATTTTTGGTGATGGCTGCACAGGGTTACATGCAAGTGGAAACTTATCAAACTGTACACTTAAAATATTCACTGTATGTCGATTATGCCTCAACTAAGCTGTTTTTAAAGTTCATTGGAAAACATAAATAAATACATAAATGCAGTAAATTAAAAGTTTGGGATTTGGGGCTTTTTTGGTTTTTGTTTTGAAGTGAGGTCTCATTCTGTCACCCAGGTTGGAGTGCAGTGCACAATCATGGCTCACTGCAGTTTCAAATTCCTGGGCTCCAGAGATCTTCCCATTTCAGTCTTCTGTGTAGCTGGGACTGCAGGCACATGCCACCACACCCAGCTAATTATTTCTACATTTTGTAGAGATGAGGTCTTATGTTCCCCAGATTAGTCTCAAACATCTAGGCTCAAGCAATCCTCCCACTTCTCCCAAAATACTGGAATTACAGGAGTGAGCCACCATACCCAGTCAATTTTTAAAAATTGTTTACCAGTTATTCACACCAGTCAAGATAGGAGACATTAGTGTATTTGGGGCTTGGTAGAAACATCAATGAAGATGAAGATAGTTCTCTTGAATTTATGTTATTATGTCTCTAAAATTGATCTAAAATATACTAAATGAGTTTTTAATGTAAACTCATTTAAAAAACAAGATTATTATGTTTTAAACAAATTACTTACAATAAAAAATCAATTTGGGGCTTTCTCTTACCCAATATCGATAGTATTATACCTGTGCTAATTCTAGTTTTGAGAGTCACTATCCACAGTGAAAATTTTGATTCACTTTGGCCTCACATTTTACACAGTCAAATGAAAATACATTTTTGTGTCTTAGGATCTTTCTACTTGTGGTTCAGACTGAATAAGACTGAGAATTCTGATTACTTATAACCAACCCCTGCAGAAGCAATGGTTACACTCTGGTAAAAGTGTTCATTGGGAAACTGCACCCAATAAATGTTACAGACCTAGCTTGTTTCAGCCACAGTTGCAATTCCACTCTGAAATTTGGTGTGTAAAAAGTGTTAAAAGATCAGGTTGCTGGAGAGAGGAATAAAGTAAGGCACATTGATTCTAAGATTTTTATTTCAAACAAAATAAAAAATTGCATGAGACTCTTTATATTATTCTGGGAATCCTGCCTACTTTCCTATAGATAAAAATAAATACCTCTTCCAGCCTTGAATCTTTCCATTTATGTAGGGTCTATACCTTCAACAAAATATGTCTAAACTGAAGTAATTAGAACATGTACCATCTCAACATGCAAAGTTTTTGAAATACGTAATACACCTAAACAAATTCAGGCTGATGTTATCAAATGCCTCATGAAACATTACCAAGACTAAGTCCTCACTTGATCTGTTACCTGGTACCTTCTATGTTTATACATATCTTAATATATATCAACATTTAATATCTTATACTGTTATTTATCAATAGTCTTTGCTTCAAAAATTTTCAACACTATCACAAAAACTATGTTGGCAATATGTGTTTTTGCAGATTTGCTTGGTTGCATAAAGGTACTATTTCACTTACTCTGTGTGTGTGTTATTATCTCTCTTTACCTCCAAACACTGAAATAGAAACAGTATTGTGAGGAAGGGCACAAAAGCTTGGAAATCAGAGGACCTGGGTCCAGCCCAGCCTCACAACACATCAGCCTCAGCCCTGGACAATGGCTCTAGCCTCTTTCTGTCTACTTCTTCAGACTGCACATAAGAATTATTTTCATGGGTATATTATAAGTAGTGATCAAGGTAATTAGGGAATGATCCTCCTATAGCCCAGCACATAGTGAGCAGTCAAAAAACAAACAAAAAGAACTAGAGTGACCTTTGAGCTGCAAGATAATTAGGGCAGGGTCCGCCCAGTGTTATAAATACCTTATTACATAGCAACATAACTACAGTGCAACCTAACAGGAGTGAAAATTATTATTTAACCAAAAGAATATTTCTTAGGCAAAGAAGGCCTAAACAGAGTAATACAAAATGAAAAGACCTAGTTTAAATCCCAACTTTGGCATGATAATTAAATAACCAATTCTGGTTGGTCATTTTATTCTAACAGACCAATTTATGGTCTGTAAATTGAACATGACATGCACTTAGGAGATGCCCGCTGAATGTGTGATGAGAGGTTAATTCAAAGACATTGTCTACAACAGTGATTTCAATACTTTTATCTGAATGATAATATATAAGTCCCTTTCAATTTGAGGAAAAGTCAAAATGGAGTGAGACTTCTCACTACAGAAGTCGCTATTGCCCATGTATTTCTCTATAATGATGAAGGGATGGAGCAACTGTGGCTCTACAGGGCGTTTGTTGCATTAGAACTTGAACTGCAGGGTTTAATGCTGACAAGAATTCTACCTCCCTCCCCACCCCAGGTCTACTTCAGTAAGACACCCAATGAGAACTTTATATCCATTTACAGAAAACTATCATTGAAAAGCTCCATGTGGTTGACCACTAAAAAATGTCTTGAAGTTAGCTTACATGTATATATTTTTTTAAGATGTGGGGTCAAATTTGCTTCTTTTTCCAGGTAAAATGTTAGTGTCTCTAAAGTTCATAACCCTTTAAAGATTATTTTGTTCATTTCACAGGTCTCCTGTTATGGCTGGAGGTCTCTTTGCTGTGGATCGAAAATGGTTTTGGGAATTAGGTGGCTATGATCCAGGCTTAGAAATCTGGGGAGGAGAACAGTATGAAATATCTTTTAAGGTAAGTCCCTAAGACCCTCTTCACACTGTGTCTATGTAATTTTGGCAATTCTGATAGAATATCAATGTGTTGCTTTATAACCTATGTTGTGAGATGACTTAACAATGAGAATAGACATGTCACCTTCTCAGATGAGCTTTTGTAGTTTTGTGAGATTTTTTTAATTTTTTAAATTGATGCACAAGGGGGGACTTCCCAAAACTGGAATTTATATATTAAAAAATTTCTTATTTAAAAATTTCAAAATTATTGCAAAATTTAAAAATTGCATATTTATTCTTACGTGTTCAAACTTCAGTTACCTTCCTAGAACTTTCCATTTGATGCAATACACCTATCAAGACACTTTTACCACTGGTCAAAACAGTTTTTTTAGCTTGTCCATTTTGATGTCTTTTAATGCTTCTGCCATTTTTTGTTTCACCTCTTCCACATTGGCAAAATGCTTTTCTTTGAGGGCTTTTTCATCTGGTGAAACAAACAAAAATAAAAAGTCATTCAGGGTGCCATCTGATGAATAGGGAGGGTAGGGCATGGGAGTCAAGCCATTTTTGGTCAAAAACTGTTGAACACTCAGCGTGATGTGGGCAGGTGCATCTGTAAATCGATTATGAAATGGCAAATACATTGAAAGAATCTCTGAAAAAAAAATTCACTGAAGTGGAACGCAGCCTCTCATAAATCATTGGTACACTGATGCCAATGGGAGTCCTAGAACACTTACCTAGACGGGGAAGTCTGTACTACAAGAGACCCGCTCTCCAAAAGATAATTCTGGATTTTGTGGGCTCTCCCTCGTATAGTCATTGTACAAATTTTGTGGTACATGTGATATTTTGATACATGTATACATGTATGTAGTGTGTAATAATCAAAGCAGGGTAATTGGGATATACATCTCCTCAAACATCTTTTTTTGCACTGGGAACATTCCGATTCTTCTCTTCTAGTTATTTTGAAATATGCTATAAATTATTGTTCACTATAATTGCTCTACTGTACTTCAAACACTAGAACTTATTCCTTCTATTTGTCTGTATTTACCCCTGAGCCAACTTCTCTTCCTGGCCTCTAGTCACCACTATTCCACTTTCTACCTCCATGAGATTAACTTGTTTTGCTCCACACATAAGTGAGAACACAGGACTTTTGTTTTTCTTTGTCTGGCTTACTCACTTAACAGAATGACCTTCAGTTCCATCAGTATTGCTGCAAATGACAGAATTTCATTCCATCTTTATAGCTGAATAATATTATATTGTGTATATAGACCACATTTTCTTTATTCCTTACTGTAAATAGTGCTACAAAAAACGAGGAAGTACAGATATCTCCTTGATATACTGATTTTCTTTCCTTTGAATTATAGAGCCAGTAGTGGGATTGCTGGATCATATGGTAGTTCAATTTTAGCTTTTTGAGAAAATTTCATCATTTTTTTCATAATTGCTGTACTATTTTACATTCCCATCAACAGTATAGGAGCATTCCCCTTTCTCCACACCCTCAACAGCATTTATTATTTTTTTGTCTTTGGAATAATAGCCATTTTAATAGGGTGAGATATAACCTCAGTGTGGTTTTGATTTACAGCTCCCAATGATTAATGATGTTAAGCACTTTTTTTCATATACCTGTTGACCATTTGTATGTTTTCTTTTCAAGTATTTCCCCAATTTTTAAATTTTTTTTTAATTAAGTAGTTTGGATTTTCTTTTTACTCTTGTTATTAATCTCTTGTCAGGTAGATAGTTTGCATATGTTTTCTCCCATTCTGTGGACTGTCTCTTTACTACGTTGTTTCTTTTGCTGTGCTTTTTAGCTTGGTGTACTTTTTCTTTATTTTGTTGCCTGTGTTGCTGAGGTCTTAACCCAAAATTCTATGCCCAGACCAATAACCTGTAGTGTTTCTCCAATTTTCTTTTTTTCCTAGTACTTTTCTAGTTTCAGGTCATACCTTTAAGTCTTTATTTTGAGTTGATTCTTGTATGTGGTTAAGAATAGGAATCTAGTTTCAATTTTCTGCATGTGGACATTCAGTTTTCCCAAGACCATTTATTGAAGAGACTGTTTCTTCTCCACTGTATGTTCTTGATGCTTTTGTCAAAAATGAGTTGGTTGTAAGTATGTGGATTTATTTCTGGGTTCTCTGGTTTGTTTCACTGATTTATGTGTCTGTTTTTACACCAGTCCCGTACTATCTTGCTTAATATGTCTTTGGAGTATAATTTGAATTCAGGTAGTGTGATGCCTCCAGCTTTGCTCACTTATTCAGAATTGCTTTTGCTAGTTGGGATCTTTTCTTTTCCCAAATTTTGGGATATATTCTATTTCTGCAAAGGATGTAATTGGTATTTTGGCAGAAATTGCACTGACTATGTAGATTACTTTGGGTAGAACAGACATTTTAACAATATTAATTCTTCTAATTCATGAGCATGGACTATCTTCCCATTTTTTTGTTTGTGTCCTCTTCAATTTCTTTAACCAGTATTGATAGTTTTCCTTGAAGAGACTTTCACTTCTTTAATTAAACTTAGTCTTAGGTATTTTTAATCTATTGTACATGGCATTGCTTTCTTGGTTTATTTTTCATATTGATCTCTGTTATTGTATAGCACTGCTATTGATCTTTGTATGTTGATTTTGTATCCTGCAATTTTACTGACTTCCTTTATCAGTTCTATGAATTTTTGGATTTTTTAAAATATAAAATCATGTCACCTGCAAACAAAGATGACTTCTTATTGTCCAATTTACATTTCCTTTATTTCTTTCTCCTGATTAATTGCTCATGCTATGACTTTCAGTATTTTGTTGAATAAAAGTGATGTAAGTGGACATTCTTGTCTTTTTCCACATTTTGTTGGGAAAACTTTCCCATTTTTCTCCTTTCAGTATAATATTACCTGTGGGTTTGTCATATATTATCCTTAACATTTTGGGATATTTTCCTTCTATATCCAATTTGATGAGAGTGTTTATTATGAAAGGATGTTAAATTTTATCAAATGTTTTTTCAGCATTTATTAAAATGATTATATGTTTTTTGTCTTTGATTCTGCTTTCAGAATTTGCCTTTGTCTTTGATCTTTGAGAGTTTGATTATATATCTAGGTTATTCTTCTTTAAGTTGAATCTGATTAAAGACTTTTGACCTGCTTGTACTGGGATATTTATATCTTTCTACAGATTTGGAAAGTTTCCTGTTATTTCTTTAAACAAGTTTTAGACATACATTTGTCTAACTCAGTTCCCTTTTTGACTCCAATAGCCTGAATATTTGCTCTTTTAACATTGTTCCATAAATCCTTTAAGTTTTCTTCATTCTTTTATTCTTTTTTTCTCCTCTATTTTCAAACAGTCTGTCTTCAATCTCTCTGATTCTTTCTTTTGTTTGATTAATTCTGCTATTGATGCTTTCCATTGTATTTTTTTATTCATTGTATTTTTCAGTTCCGGGATTTATGTTTGACATTGTTATTATTATTTTAATCTCTCTGATAAATTTCTGATTGATTTGCTGTGTTTTCTTAAAGTTCACAGGTTTTCTCGAAACAACTAGTTTGAATTATCTGTCTGAGAAATCATTTATCTCCATCACTTTAAGGTTGGTCTCTGTTGGCCTATTTTGTTTGTTTGTGTCATATTTCCCTGAATGTTCTTGATGCTTGTGGACCTGCAACAATATCTGTGCATTGAGGGATTAGATATTTGTTTTGGTCTTCACTGTCTGACTTTGTCTGTGCCTGTCTTTCTGAGGACCTTTCAGAGATTTTAAGCAGACTGGCTGTTGTGTTCCCTGAGCCTGTAATCATGGCAGTTTTGTCAGTAGTAAGGGATTCTCTAAATCCAGGCTTTCTGCAAGTCTCACAGGCACTCTGAGGTTGACACGGTTTTCCAGACCAGATAGACCTGAGAAAGACCCAAGGAAGGTACAAGGGCTATGTGGAAACCCTAGTCAGGGACCTGAGTCCAGAAGATTGTCTTGGTGACCCACATAGGTATGTCTCCCAACAGATCCCTGCACAGGCAGAATGGGGTCCCAATTTAAGCAAAGGGAAACGGAATCAAAATTGGGCCCCCTCAGGATCTGCTATGGGTTGGAGGTTAGTGTGTCAGTCACACTGGCTCAAACAGAAGGTTCCTGCACAGAAAGAATAGTTCCCAAATTGCAGTAGGAGGGGCTAGAGCTGAAACTAGCCCCCCTTGGGATCTGCTGTGCTGTTATGTTGGCTCATATGAGCTTATGTCTCCCAGTAGGTTTCTGTACAGACTGGATTTCTGCAAGTATCTGCTGTGGGGCAGAGGCTGGAGAACCTGGTCTTGTTGTCACAGAGGATGACATATCTTCTAGCAAGTCTCTATACAAATAGAATAGTTCTTTGATCGCGGCAAGATGGGTGAGAGCTGGGATCAACTATAGGACAGAGATTAGACAACCCATCATGGAGGCTCTGACTCTAGAGCTATGAGGTATGGGCAGGTATTTCTCTAGGTCACTTGTAAGAGCTCTAAGCTGTGACCTCAGCTGAGGGTGCTTGAATCCAAAAGCAAGTTTGTTGGAGTAGAACAGCCACTGTTTGAGAGTATAAGGGTTTGCCTATATTCTCAAAACAACCCTTCTAGGTCTTAGGCTCCACCAAGGTTTCATAAACTCCTAGCTGAATGTTGAGGTGCTCACATAGAGCCTGTAACTGTGGATGGGTGCAGAATTCTTGTTGGTAAGGGGCAGAGAGGCAGGAGTGGATCACCTTCTATTCCACCAAATTAGTGACATTACTTCCCCCAAGCAAGCTTTTGGATAGCAGGAAGTGCTTTCTATGATCATTCAGTCAAGTGTGGCCATGACATATGCAAAAAGAAATAATTCTAACTTCCATTTGCAAGTAGGATATTTGGTATTCCAACAAATCTACTGCTCTACTGACAAGTGCATTCCTTCTAAAGCACTTAATCCATGTAGTTAGAATTAAGATGAAAGAAATCAAGTTATTGGA